CGCTCGGAGCAGGACCAGGACTCCTCCGAGTACGACGACGACGGGCTGGACAGCAGCGACAGCGAGGAGGAGGTTACCGTGGGGACTGTGGTGGTGCAGATGCAGCAGCCGTGCTCCGATGAGCGAGATTTGCTAGCCTGAGTGGCCAACTCAGCTGCCCGCCCCGACATCTGCAGACTTTAAGGAGGGGGCTTACAGATCTATCATATGTTCTTGTCACTGCGTACGTCGTACTGCTATCCTCTGTAGGAGTTCCAATGTTTTTAATCAATGGCGAGTTGGATGAGCTGCCCTGCCAAGAGGAAAGGACCCGAGTACAGTAGACTGTATTTATTCATGGAGACCAGAGGGTCCACCTGCTCCCATCATGCCTGACAGAGCTGCATATTGTCTGTATATATCAAGTATAAATCACCATAACTTTCATATTAACCTTTGATTATCTTCAGTCCCATGTGTGTAATATACACACAGATATACTGTATATAAATCCACCTTATATTCACCGGAACTGAACCAATATGCAGCACCTGCATTTCAGCTCACTATGGAAGCAAATAGTTACCATATTTCAAATGAAAAAGCGTTTTCATTTTAAGAATGTGGCTGCATTGTTTGACTCATAAATGAAATTAGTTATCAATAATCCCTTTTGCATTTTCTTCTTTAACAGTGCTCAACCTCTTACTCCGCTGTGTTTCCTCTTGATTATGGCATAAAATGTGCAGTTTTAAAGAAGAAAATTGCAAATACAAATAGGATGATTGATTACCAATTTCATTTATGAGTCAAGTAATGCAGCCACATTCTTTAAATGAAAAGGCATTTCTGGAAATGCTTTTTTATTTTCAAATTGTACATTTCAAATTGAATTTTGGTATGTATTTGCTGGGGTACATTTTGAAAAATAAATCTATAATGTCTTTTTTCATTTTAATCAAGTAAAAGGACAAGCAGTGCTAAAGAATAAAATGCATACAGGATTATTGATGACTAATTTCATGTATGAGTCAAACAATGCAGCCACATTTCTGAAAATGCTTTTTCATTTGAAATATGGTAAGGATTTGCTTCCATAGCTCACAGCAATACTCAGTTGCCATTTTACTTTTAGGCCGTCTTGCAGTTTAGTGCCACGTTTTGTTTTTATGACTCATATGAAGTGCAGGACAGTGTTGATAGATTGATTTAAGGAAAAAAAAATGATTCAGCCTTTTGAGGCATAACTTTTTTTTTGTAATTTTCTGCAGTCAACTTTTTTTTTTTTACTAAACTTCTTAAATCTGGTTATGAAAATGTTCTGATATGGTTTAGAGGAAATGTGCAGGGTTCTTTTGTTTTATTCATCCACAAAATGACAATTCATGTTGCCTTTTTAGTTATAGTTCAATCTTTTCTTCCCACCCATGTACATGTTGAACAAATCGTAATAAACCCTGAACAAAACATTCCTGTTCCATGATTTTGTAAAATTTGGGCCACCCAGGTCATTTATTTTCTGCTCGACTGTAAACAGATATTCAATGGGACAGAGCAGCTAATTAAAACCTATACGTTCCAGTATGTAAATGTCATTTTTCTCAAGTATATTTAATTTCGACTACTTCTTATAGCTAATGTAAACCAAAGATCAGTTTGCCAGAAAACTAGAATAGGTGCCAAAGAAGGATTGCTATACTTGAAACAAAGAGCTGAGTGGAAGTGAAACTGATCGGAACATTGAACACCAATAACTAAAGGTGAGAGGATTGAGGCAAAACTGATGTTTGAGGCCATTTTGAGAATTTTGAAATAGATCAAATAGTAAGTTAGGTTCACTTTAAGATATGTGATATTAACTTTTTCTCCTGTTTCTATGTATTCCAAACAATTTCATAGTTTTAGATGCAGAGAAGGCAATCAGGACCCTGCAAATCGTTAAAATACTTTTATCAAATTTATATCCATGCTCCATAAATCAAAAAAGGTTTTGGATGAAGTTTGTCTGATTATTTAACAATTTCCCCTTTTTTCTCTGAATCTGGATCAACATCCATCATTTCCTGGATTTTCCTCAAAACCTCATTTGAATCTTTGCATTTACAGATCCTGCAAATCAGAGTTGAAAATGCTTAAAGTGCAACATGGTTGAAATAAAATCTCCATTACATCCAGAAGGGATTGTAAAATTGATAACCATAAAGTGGAGCATTAAACAAATTTAGGGCTGATTAAAGCACAACACTGGGCTTTATTTGGCAATATCAAGTGATGGTTTTTCAGGATTCCCGACTTTAAAGGAACATTTACTCAATTTTCTGCTCCTGTGCTGAGGAACCCTGTTCTTAAAAACTTACATTTTCATCCATTGGTTTCTCCAATGTACAGGCATAATTGGTATCTCCTACCCATCAGTTTAGTTCAGACATTTTAAAAACATAGCTTGGCATGTTTTTAGTTCTTAAGACATTTGAGGTCACAACATTAGCTTAATATCAGAGGCCCACGACCCACAGCCAAGTTACCCCCATATATCAAAAGCTATGTACCGGTAGCTTAAAATAAAAGGTCAAGTTTTTTTAAACCTAGTAATACCTTATATTTTTATGTAGTTGAAGATTTAGCAGAGTCTAACTTAAGCCCAATAGTCTAGAGAAACAGCCCTGGAAAGAAAAAAAATATATTTTTTTTTAGTTTTAGAACCAGTCTGCATTTTTAGGCTCAAAATTGAGCTCTGGTTAAACCTAGATAAGAATTCAGACCTTCAGAGAAGCAACCATGAGCAGTTCAGTTTTACCGCCTTCAGCAGAAACCGTTACCGCAGAAAAATAAGGAATCTTATTTTTCTTAGATCTTACTTGAAGTTCCAACCAAGGATTAACAACTTTAACCTGCAACTCCTAGGTCCAGCGCTTGTATTAATACAGCTCTGACAAGAAACAGCAAGCATTCCTCCAGGCCTATGACAGTAACGGAGCAGTTTCCATAAAATTAACAGCACACATGTAAAAGAAAAAGAGTAAACGTTGTTCTGGTTGGAATAAATTTATTTGATCTGTCTGTAAACAAGGTGATAACTCAATTTATGGCATTTCTTTGTTTATGCATACAACATCAGATGCATTAAAGACTGTATCCCAGATGTAAGAAAACAAAAGAAAAGGTGGCGAGGAAAGGAAATTAACAGATCAGCAAACAGGACTTGAACAGTGTTTATGAGTACACATATCCCACAAGGCCTAAACAGTTGAGCTGACGCTACAAAGTGCCGATGAAATGACTCCTTAGCCAACAGTGGGTTAAAATCCTTCTTTCAGATCTCTGCATTATGGCACAGGATACACAGGTTCTTAAGTTTCAACAAGACAACCATGAGCATCTTTGTTCCAACCAATACCATCTCCCATCGAGTGTCATTTTCTACTTTAGAAGTTAGTTTTTCAGTTGGACATTACAGTTAGCAGTTCTGAGCTTAGACTGATCAAGTCATGCCCCCACAGCTCAGCTGACTAAAGGCAATTTATTCCACAGTTATGTAGTTGTCAACACAGCATAGGTTTGTACAAATGCGTTTGTTTTTAACAGTAGTGAGGATTTTCTTCAGGTTCACCCTGCACTGTACCCCTTCAGTTTTAACTTCAAACATCTGCCTGATTAGTTTCCTTCATCAGAAAAAAATGTGTCATCCTTCACATGAGTTAAAGCAGTTGTATAAACACCCAGGCCGCAACTACACTTGGTCCTATAAAAAGAAAAAAAAAAAAAGGAAAAAACTGGACACGTTCCAGGTTGGTATATGCTGGGATATTTACTGTCCAAATAAATGGCAGCCTTTCAAAAATTAAAGCAAAAAAAATAAAATAAAATACAGAAAATGGCAAACTAAACAGTGTTAAGTGCCTGAGCCCGTTACTGTGGAATGTCCATGGATTTTGTGTTGGGATGGTTGTGATGCCAGGTGGGTGGGTGTGGGGAGGGGACCATCTGCATGGAATATGAACAGCACCCATGCAAAGACCACCCCCCCTTTCATCAAAACCATTCCTGGACAGTACAGCGACTCTGCTGGGAGAGGTGGGTAGTGTTCAGTAAAGGGTAAGAAGTTATGTAGTGTCGTCCGATTCGAGCCAAACTGATGGGGGAAGCTAAATAATTTGGCAAGAAGGTTAGTGTAAAGGTGGTAGAAGATAACAGATATGCACAGTCTCCCCCCCTTTACATGGAGGAAATAAAGGAAGACATGACGAGCTCTGTTGGAGCTCAAATGCTCCAAAAGGCATAGGCTGCTCAAGGAGGGAGTGTGTGATCTGTGAGGATTTAGTGGAAGGTACCATAAAACACAAAAGGAAAAAAAAAAATAAAAATCTACAATTTGATGCTATAACTTCCTTTGTCTAAGTGTTCTGTCAAAATCCTGTTTGTTTTTTTTGCTGGTCTCTGTTAAGTACAGATTTGTCATGACATCCTGTTTAGCAACATGCTCGTCTTTGCTATGGATCAACAGAAGAGTGCTTGTAAGGAGATATAAGAATATACAGAGCAATGTGTGGAGGAAAGGGGGTAAATGAGGGGGGGAGAAGGCAGAAAAATTAACTACAAACTAGGACTGGAAGTAGTGTGAAATGCAACAGGGTGGCAAGGGTGAACTGCTAGGTAGCTGGTTACAGGTTGCTTTAGTAGGAGAGCTTCCTCAGGTAATCAGCCATCTGATATGCTTTCTTGTTGAGCCCTCCGCCATGGACACCTTCTTTCCCCATGACAATAACCAATGCTGGAGTACACAAAAGGACAAAAAAAACAAACAAAAAAACCATGAACAAGAATGATGAGAGCAGGGATGGAAAAATAAAAACACTTTGCTCTACCTCTTAAATATGGGGCTACATTGATGCCCTGCACCCTTAAATGCTCCCTGGAGGATTTTATCTGATGAGACTGCCTGGGAGGGGGATATGGGCTTGACAGAAACCTTTTTTTGTCCTTTTGAGTTTTGTGTTTTTTGTTTTCCCTTTTATTTTTTTTTTTTGTATTTCCTCTGCTACGCCACAAAAGCTACTTCTAATCTAAAACCCTGAATCCCTCAAGTATTTTGCCATCGAGTATGCCTTCTTATTCAATCCGCCTCCATGGACCCCTTCTTTGCCCATTACCAAGACCAAGACTGAAAGAAAAGAGACAGAAGGAACATTTAGAAGGGAGGTGGAGATCACACAAGTGAAGAGAAAAAGCCAGAGCCAAAAAGCAGCAGGCAAGACAACCATAAAAAAGCTGTGCAGTGCCTTTGGTTTGAAGGTTGCAGGAGGGGGAGCCTTCATTTTCCTATCAGTGCTACTGGTGAGCCATGTCACAACAATAAATGTGAACATGACAGCAATAAATATTGCATGCACCTTGTTTGACAATATTCATTTTTCAGGATGAAAAAGCAAAAGCAGAGAAGCAGTCTAAAAGGCCATTTCCATTTAATCACCTCACCTCTTTGAAATAAACATGAGGATTTTGTTAAACTAAATAGCTTCTAAGAACTTAGGCTTCATATAAAGCTGTATGCAAACTAAGGTAACCCTATCAAGGACCTTAAAGCAGAACAAGATGAGGGAAGCTTGTCCTGTGAACACTCAACTAGTTTCACAGATCATTGCTTTAACTAAAGATTTAATAAAGCAAAAACTGATTGCATCTTTAAGGGAAAGTAAAAGCATAATGAAATATGCAGTTACTAAATTATTAGGTTTCTAAGTGTATGCTTGTAGTAAGCTATAAATGATAATCATTTATTAGAAATAACTCAATTATACTTTGAAACTAAAATTCTGGGACTATAGGAGATCTATGTTACATCAGAGTACTCTCCCTTTGTTTGGCTGATTTAGTGCCAGGGGGAGATCTTAATTTGGCCCTTCAAAGTCACTATACCAGCAGCAAGAATAAGAAAGTGAAGCTTTGAAACCAACATCACCAAAGACGTGTGCAGCAGCATGCTTAGGGTACCTCTCCTCAATACATGTTGGCACAGTGAAGCACCCAGAGCCTTATGTTGGGGAACAGATTGTTATATTAGAGACACAGAGGGATGTGTTAATTGAAAGGTGAAAGTAGCATGCGGTTCAGCAAGGCTGAAGGAAATCCTGCCCCAGAGGAGGGGGTAAGTGGGTAGAAAATTGGAATTTGTTTGCCTTGGAACATCCTCACCTGAAAGCTGCAGCAGAAGTAGGGAAATGGTGCACATAGGCTCACACAGACAACACAGAAAGTGTCACAACCCCAGACAAGTCCATTAAGGCGTCTAATTTTACAGGCAACCATTCTAAACTGTAAATTAAATGAAGGCAACAGAAGGTTGTTCATTTTCAGAGACCTGACTACACCTTAAGGTTGTAGGTTACAGCTGAATACACCGCTATGGCTAAATCTAAAAAAAGGCTATTACTCTTAACAAAAAGCCCCTTTAACATTAAAGGTAAGCTGTGGTTAATGGGATTTGGTGGGACTCAAAAGGTTTATAGCCCAGATCTATAATAAATTGGACTTCAAATGTTAATTTACATTAAAGTTATCTTGCATTGAAATGCTTTAAACCAAGAAAGTGACAATAGTAAATTGTTAAAAAATATACAACTTTTGAGATTAAAGGGTAGCTTCATGTTATGCAAATCACTGTATTTCCTCAGCACGTTATACATCTAGTTTATATTCATTCAACTTTTGTTAAAAACTTCAATATCAATAACCCTCTCATCTTGCTGCACAATTCATACCCAAAATAATGTTTTTACAGCTGAAATAAACTTCAATTACAATCGTTCCCCATGTTAGAATTCTAGAAAAGTCATTTATACCTGCCATATATTGAGGAAAGGTGCATTCAACACCTCTACAACATGCACTTGCAACACAACCTAGAGTAGACCTACGAATACCACATTAATGCAGACTACAACAAATATGTAATGCAAATTATGTCTAAACAACAGTGCAGGTTTTACTTACCTTTGCCTGCTTTGCCTACAGAAATATTGTATGTTGGCTCCCCTCCTTGACTCTTTGTCCGGATGTCCATTGTCCAGTCGTTTTCAATTTGCAGGCTGTCTCTGATTACTGAGCACTTTTTACCACCTAAGGTCAGCCCACTGGTGAAGAAACCCTCTCGGTCCTTTCCTACTAACACATCGATTTCAGCCGGCTAAAAAAAAAAAACAGGACAAAGTAATAAAGTTAATACCATCGGGGAATTTTTGTTTTACCTTAAATATTTAATAACTGCCCCCAAAAAATTTTGTTTTTCAGTTGAAGGTCAATTAAAGGGAGCTTTTGGTAGTGTAATACAGTAAACAGTTCCCATTAATTGTTTAATGTCTCAAAACCAAAATTGTTGGAAATCAAGTTACATGTGACAAAAGTTTTTATTTATTTCCAATCCCAGAATAGAGGGCCATAGAAGTAAAACATAACCGTTTAAATATAAAGCTTTCAATTGAACCGGGAGTGACACTGGAAACCCAGACCAACGAGAAAGGGCTAAAGGTCAATTTAAGCTTCTGACGCATAGCCTCTGCAATTGTCAAATCTGTCTCTGTGCGCGACCACACCCCCCGTGCAAAGGTTTTGCAACCGTCGTTGCACGCCTCAAAAATAAAAAAATCCTGACTAGCCGTTGGACAGTTGCAAACCCACACAGACCTCAAGTGGAAGTGTGCAGACAAAAAGCAGCTGTGATTGGTCCTTGTATGCCTTTCTGGCCGTCTGTGTGGTCGTCCTCCTCGATTTGGTGCCGGGACGTGCTGCTTTTAAAAACGGAGGAACAATTGACAACTACAACGAAAGGTTAACCAGTCTTTTTGCCAAGTCCATTAACAGAACCTCTTCCATGTGTAGCAACTCTATATCCATCTCCGTGACATTTTACAGCCGCGCCATTGTTGTTTTGAAAGAAACACTCCTGCTGGCGTCACAGAAGTTCTTGCAAGTTCTCGAATAGGCTCCCCCTTGCGCTTTGGCAGGAAACTGCCATGCATCCCCAGAAATTCCAGACCGACTGTGCAGAAGCACATCAGCAGATCTGGTTCACAACCAGACCCAAGTGACATTTGATGTGTGCGGTTGCGGAAGTATCATCTGCCCTGAAACAGCAAAGGGCAGACAAAAACCTAAAGGCCTGAAATGCTAAGTCATGGCAGAATATGACTGGAGAAGAAACTTGGGAAAAGAAAACTGCAGGGCTAAGATTAGCATAAAAGTTTGCAAAACAAGTCAAGTTAAACCAGTAGTTATTTCCAATGGAATTTACGAAATCCACTTCCCTAATATCAGATTTATATAAACATTTTCTGTTCTGGGTTTCATGAGATCAAAATCAGGCTAATTTTGAGCATAAATAGTCTGCTTTGGAAAAAGTTCAGCTGAACAGTGAAGCGTTTCGCTTGTTAACCTACATCTAACACCATGTCATTCTGAAAACTTCCTCATTTTTTTCCAACTCTTCTTTTCCTGACCAGAAACTTTTCCAATTTTTTCATAGTCCTATAGATTATTGAATTTCCTTTTAGATTGATGGATTAAATGTTATTTTGAATGTGCAGGCCCAAGATTTCAATGTATACTATGGTGGCAGGTTTACATAAGCCTGGAAGCTATTCTACAGCCCAGTACTCGAAATAAACGTTTTTACGTTTAGTGCAAAAACAAAAGGAGTTAAAAGAGCTGTGTCATGGTAAGTTTGCATGATGTCAAACAGGAGTGTTTTCTTTTTACCCCCTCTGCAACAGCATCGACGAAGAAATAATCTAAGGAGTTCGCCGGGTAGACACTCCCTGTAGCTTTAGCAAAAGGCGGAAAACACGTTCCTGCTCTTTAGCACAGCTCAGCGTTTTTTTAAGGTGGCCTAACACTCTCCAATAGTGTATCCACTTTAAATCATGGCATCCACAAATCCGAAAATATTAAAATTACCTTAAATTCAAAATGGTGGCTCGAGAAACGCGAAGGACAACAGCTACACGCGATTAATTTTAAACAAAGGATTATAGTCAACAGAAGCTGAAAAACGTATAAAACTTAAATCATTTTAAAAATCCGACTGTGTCAAACACATTTCCATTAACTTCTCATGGAAAACCGCAAAACCGGAGTGTATCCGCCATTTTGGAGAAAAGGGGCGGTAGTGAGACTCACAAGCCGCACAGAAAAAAAAAAAAAAAAGACCAACGGTTGCTAGCATTAGCATTAGCTTCCAACGGTTTTCCAGCGAGGATAACCACCCCGTCTGGCTAACCCGTTAGCTTTCTAAGC